CAGCCTCCCCAGTGCCCAGCCCAGGGCACAAAATCTGCCCTGCTCCTGCTGCCCACGACGTCCTCATCCTCTATAGGTCAAGTGTTACCCTTTCCAAACAAACACAATCAAACGTAATTTAGGCAAAGGGAATTTTACTAAGAAAATAGAAGACCAGAACGCACATTTCAATAGAGTTACAACATTATAAAGGAGGAAAAAAAACCCCAACTGGTTCACCATTTAAATACAATTTCAGTTGTAGCTGAGCATTGACCCTCCCATGTAACGTCCACCCCAGGGAGATGAGGCTAGAACTGTTCTCACAAGCACTCCAGCAGATTTACATTTAGTTGTGTAAAATAGATATGTTTAAGACAGAAATAAAGGTGAGTTATTAATTTGATGTTTTCTTTCTTGACAGACTGGCTGTTTTACTAGGTGTACGTAGTCCTGAAAGTATTATTTCCATTTCCACTTAAAAGGAGCTACTTAAAGGATGGGTAAGTCAGAGTGAAAGGTACTTGGAGAGCTCAGTTCAGTGCCTGCAGAATCTAAACACACACCACAGGGTTCCTGCACCACGAGCAAGGTTTTTACATCAGCTGTAGCCATGGGCCACCGTGCCACCGGCTACTACGTTCCCTAAATACCATCCAGCTGTTAGCACGTGTTCCTCCAGAGCAGGCATGAGCAAGATTCTGCCTGCAGAGGTCTGGGTTCTCCTTGCAGTTCCTCCAAAACATCCACAGGCTTTTCTGGTATCAGGGTAAGGTGTGTTTCAGGAGTAGGTAGGTTCAAGGTAGATCCATACAGAGTTAGATGCCCCCTTCACAAGCAGCAACCGAATCACACGGCTCCAATTCAGCTGTCAATGGGCACGGTTGGAACCTTGCTCTAGATTTTCTCCTTGCTCCAGTACTCAGTGGAACACCAGTCCCTGCCTACGATGGATGGCTGCTACAAAACAGGCCATCAGTATCTCAAAAAGAGTCCAAAAACAGTGGTTTTCCTCAAGTTGGGAACAGCTGAGACAGAACAGGAGTCCAAACTCTACTTCACAGTCCAGAGTCTTGTAGACACCTCTTCCCAAACGTTGGAGGTGCTCAAATATACACCTTTGAAGTCAAGAAGCCCAGGAGCAAGTGAAAGACAACAACCTGGATCTACTCAGGCTGATAAAAATTCAGTTGTAGCTATACAATACTCATCCCCACCCTCCTATGGGAGCAGAGCACTAATGAAAAACCAAAAGGTGTGTGATTTATCTTTGTAGTTATTAGCAGAGGAGTGGGACCAAGAGTCACTTTATCCCCTCCAGCAACACAGAGTGCTGGAAACCACAGTACAGAGAAGCCACAGGAAATCTGTCCCACACCCACCTGCAGGTGAAACATTGCTTGGTTTGAAGCTTGGAAAACCAAGACAAGAGCCTGAAGCATCAGTGTTCACAAACATAACCAAGAACTTGGGTGAGGAGTCAACGTTTGGGTTTTAAAACCTCTCAGGCACAACATTTGAAGGGTCTCACTCGGTTGGCACGCTTCAGGAACATACAAACTTCTGTAACAGCTCTGAATAAGCTCAGAAATTTAAGAAAATAAGGCTACTGTTCTCCTCCTCTGTGTGTTTCTAGATGTTGCTGCCCACAAGCTCAGTCCTGCTCCTGTTTGATTTTAAGGAAGCCAATCTTGGATCAGTCTGGGGGAAAAAACTGAGCTACAGTGGGAGTTGCTGAGCCTCTCAGAAGTAGCCTCACAGAAGAGATGTCAAAGACACATTTTTTTACACCATTCCAAAGGCAAAAGTCACCAGGGCTGCATGAAGAGCTAGAACACTCCTCATCCTTTAGGTGATGGATTTTTTTAGAGGGTATTTTTTTAGAGCATGATAAGCTTAACTTGTGTTATGCATCACAAAATACACCCTAGTGACAACTTTGCCCCTTTGCATACTGTGCAAGAGACTTTTCTAGGTGGCTAAAGATCAGCAAATGCTTTTGAATTAGCCAGCAAGTGGACAAAAACCCAGGTTAAGTATGAGATGGAAGAGGATACTGTGGTTCTATTAAGTGGCAAGCAGTTGTAATTAATTCAAAGATGGATTAGATCTGAAGAATACAAAAAATGAAAGGTGAATCTATGTATTTTACTTTAAAAAAAAATGAAAAAGATGAAAGGGAGAGTGAAATGCCCCTAAAACTTTGTGAGCTGACATGTTACCTGTTGCTAATGGCAAACGATGGTTTTGCATGGAAGGTGAAATTCCATCGTGTCTCTATTGGAAGCTATAAATGATCAGTTTAATCAGAACCTGATTAAACAATGACCAATCTGAAGTCTAACTGGTACCACTGAGCTGCCATAACTGGGCCAGGTTTGAGGAAGACACAGCCAGGCCTTCTCTGAGACCTCTGCAGCCCCAGCAGGGCAAGGCTGTGTGACAACCTTCCGAGATGGTTCCTCCTCACCCTGCAGTGGGATTTCCAGGGGAAAAAAAATTCACTCAGCAACATTTATCCTTGAGGAAAATCCCACTGGGGATTATGGACCATGACAGGAAAAAAAAACCATAATAATGGAGGCTAAGCAGGTTTTTATTTTATGAGATGAGTTCTATTTCTGGACATCTCTGTGATCGTGCTCAGCCAAGGACACGAGATCAGGGCATGGGATGTTTTTGTTCCTCCTCTGCCAAGCTGGTTGGGTGGCAGAAGGGAGGAAATGTGCATTTCCTGACAGATTTGACCCCAGTGATGCACAACTCCACTGCCACAAGCTGCAGCTAGCCTTGGATTTTCAGGCTGGAAAAAGAATCTGTACACGAAATAAATAATCCCCTGGTAAGATCACAAATTGAAATACAATAAAAACCAAACACAGCAAAAATAGGTGAAAAAAAAAAACCACATTCTTTGTAAAAATGTCCTGTGTGTTGGTCTGCTTTGTAGGAACACTCAACATACACAAGTTCAAACCCAGTTTGAACAAGCAGCTTTTTCCCCACGTCACTGTTTTCTGCATTTCTGTTTCCTCACTTGGGTAAAACCTTCTTAAAATTCACTATTTTTTTTAATCTCATCCATAAACATATTAAAATCAGGCAGTAAGCAACACAGACCATGTCTAAGGGGGTACAAAACTATTTCCCCTGTTCTCTTTTAGGCTTTTTCTGCATTTTTTCAATATAAATGAGGACGTGGTGCCTGCAATGGGTAAATCCTGAGCAAGTTTTCCTTCATCTCTTTGGATTCTGGCTTCAAATTTGCCACTATAGCCCTTTTACATCACTTTTTTTGTCTCTTTTCCTCTGGAACAACATGTTGTCTTTCTTTCTGTTCCTGACATACCATTGTTACAGAGATCAGATTGAGGAGTCCCAGGCTGTAACTATCGCTGCGTGTCCTTGTTTGCTAACACCAAATACCCAAGGGCACTCAAACCTGATAAGGAGGGAATTAAATTGTGGTTATCTGTATCAAAATGTGCAGTACTGTTTGTGGCAAAGCAAAACTCAACTTGCCATTTTGGGCTTTGGATAAAAAAAAAAACCCTGACCCATTAAACCTGTAAAAGGAGTGAGGAAGATGAAGTGATCAACTCAGAGCTTCTCAGAGTTGAATCTTTCAAGTCCTGTCTTCAAAATGAGCTGCATATATTGGACTGGGACCACAAAAAAAACATTCAGACTGCTGTAAATGTGTGTGTCAAGAGCTGCCTGGGACACTTTCCTGATGCAGCTTCAGCAGCTGCCTGGGTGGGGTTTGTTCGAAGTGGCAAGTGAGTCCACTTAGGAGTTTTGGAGTTGGTGATGTCATGAAAACATCACACAGGAGCCTTTCTGTGAGAACAAAGGTATGCAAGGGAGAAAATGAAGCTTAGAAGAAACAGAACCTTGGGAAAAAAAAGGAAGAAATGAAACAAAAATCCTTTGGGACATCAACCTTGGAGTCCTCTGCAGAAAACCTTGTTAAAAGCTCTACAAGATTTCTGTTAATTACTTCAGATCCTGCCTTTATGGGAGAGAATTTATTATGCACCAGCATAGCTTTGGTTTTAAAAGCTATTAAGTGATTAGTATTATTTTCAAGGATGATTTCAGCTAATTCACATTTTTCCTGCTAACAGATTTCACAGGACTGAGGAGAACACGAAACGCGAACACCGCTGCAGATTCCCCCTGTACACACCACGCTGCTCCTCAAAGCACCTTGAAACACCAGACAAAACAGCTGAAAATTGACTGAAACTGTCTTGTTTTTTGACAGATTGATGTCACTGAGAAGTGATGTCACTGACAAGGCCGTGTGACAACACTAGGACAATTAAAAGACACAATTAAAAGCAGAAATCAACCTGGAAATCAGAGAGCTGCAGTTCATCGTCAAATGGACGTGGCTAAAACATCATTCATTTGTTATTTAAATGAACTTTGGAGAGCACTCTCATTCCTCTGACAGAGGCCATCATCTATACAGTTTATCAGGTCCTGGGGGAGTGGGGAAAAATCTACATCAAGTGAAAAACAGGGGAAAAGAGGGAAAAAAAAATAAAAAGACAACAAAACGAACGCAAATAAATTACAGGACTCAAAGATCATGATTTCACTTGGTCTGAAAAAGGGATCCCTGCAGAGTAGAAGATACTGCCTGAGGAGTGTGATCTTCTGAGACATCAGTGCACCTTAGATTCAGGCCAGTCATAGACATCTGGCATGAAGGATTCGTACTCGTAGGTCCAAACCTTGGAGCGAATGTAACGGTTCTTGTCGGCGGGCTCGGGGTAATGGAAAGCCATGTTGTTGGCATATAAAAATTCCATAACCTGGGAAGGGAAATTATCACCTGGTTGGTGCTGTTCACTACACTCATGCTTCCACTGCACTATGTTTTTGACTCACAAACCAGATTAAAGACAAACACCAAAGGTTTTGCAGCTCCCGAATGCCTCGCGGGGACCTGAAAGCTTCATTTCAGGTATCCAAGGAGCATTATTTTGGCCCATCATCACTGTCACACTGAAGCATCCAACAAACTCCAATTTTTTTATAAGTTTCTCTTATTAAAAGAGACAAAGAACTGGGTATTTTGTGCCCAAGGCACCTGATGTTCAAGGTGCCATTCGACAGGTTAACATACACATAAACGGCTTCTGCTGCAGTCCACTTTTATGCTTGATACTCACCTTGACAGCAATATTAATAGAAACTTCCCTGATATTAGACAGTGGAGGATAAAGCCTTCCTTGTGCAAGCTCTTCATCGGTCAACTGCTCTGCCAATGCCTGAGTTAGAAAAACAAACAAGTTTTCTTTGCTGCCCCCTGAGTGGGATCAATAACACGCTTAAAAACACCCCAGAGAAACAAGCTGCAGTGTTCTTAACTCCTGGAGTGCTCCCAAAGCACTAGGGCAGTCAAACCCCCCCCTCATTCTCAAAGAGCAACTCTTCAGTGTATGCCCAAATCAGCAAATTCTACCTGGAAGAATTTAGCTAAAGAAGATTCAGGTTTTTTTTGGAGGCTGAACGACCCACGATGGAATTCCATGATGGAATTGATGCAAGCATGATGCCTGCAGGACTGCCCGTGTGTTTTGGCCAGTTGATTCACTGGCCACTCCAAGGTGGCTGGTGGTCCTCCTCCAAAGCAGACAGGCAGGAGAGGATGAGAACCTGGAGGCCACGTGCATCCCTCTCCACACCACCCGCTGTGGAACCCAGAGCGGGGCACCCACGTGGGGCTTTTTTTTAACACCAGGGAAGGGTAGAACCAACAGAAATCAAAGAGGAAACTGTAGAGTTGTGGCAAGCTTGGAGAAGCTGCCCATTGTGTCAGAAATCATGACTTCCTCTGCTTCCACACTCACCTTAGCAGCTTCTAGGAAAACCTTGTCACTAATATGTCGCACGCTGCTGAGGATCACAGCCAGAGCCACGCCTGCAATGAGATGATTGCCAATTAGGGCCACACCATTTCCAAATATGCAGCCTTCAGCCCAGAGAATTGTTACTTTAAAACATCTTCCTGGAGCTTTCTACACGTGTTTGCCAAACCACTGCACCACGTGTGCCAGTCACTGGCTGTTAATAGGTGGCTTTGGATTGGAGCTTCGCAGCTCATGAAAGAAAAGGAGAGAAAAGGGAAGGCAGAGAAATATCCCCAGGGCTTCTTCTGGACCCTCACTTGTGCAGCCATCAAATCATGGCATGGGTTGGGTTGGAAGGGACCTTACAGATCATTTAGTTCCAACTCCCCTGCCATAGGCAGGGATATCTCCCACTAGAGCAGGTTGCTCAAAGCCTCGTCCAACCTGGTCTGGGACACCTCCAAAGATGGGGCACAACTCCAAGAGGAGCACATTGCCTCTTCTTTTCTCCTTCCTCACCAAAAGAAGCAAAAGAATCCATAAGGCAGCAGCTTTCAAAGCCTTTAATAAAACCCTTTTGCTTTCTTAGAAACATCCAGCTGTGTCCACATAGTGTCTGTAGCTGCACAAGCTTGACATCCACCCTTCAATGATTTTCCTTCCTTCATTCTTCTGAGGTCTCAGCTTTAAATGCTGGTAACACTTCATGCTGCTTCACTTAACTTGGGCCAAGTGTAGCCAGGGAACCTAAGAGTCTAATCTTCAAGATTAAAAGAAAATAGTTGTATTTATTACCTGGAAAAATATAAGCATTGTTTCCTTGGCCTGGTTTGAAGGTTCTTCCATCCTTCAGAGTCACCAGCTCAAAGGGACTGCCACTGGCAAACAAGCAACGTCCCTGTTGAACAGAGGAATGATCTGGAGGCTTCAAAGGTGTGGAGCAATTCAGTCAGGATGAAAAACAGGGAGATCTCTACAGGACAGGAATTACTCACACCCAAAATAAAGTGCTTCTGTATGCATTGGGGTGAATGGGAAGGGATTGTCCCCCTGGAGTCAACACCTCAAATCCTGGGGTCAGTTTTGGGTCCCTCACTCCCAGAAGGACCTTGAGGGGCTGGAGTGTGGCCAGAGAAGGGCAACGGAGCTGCTGGGGAAGGGTCTAGAGGCCAAGTGTGGGGAGGAGCAGCTGCAAGCAAATAATGCAGTTTGCTGAACCTTCCTTTGATGGTATTTGATGATATTTTCATCAGCACAAAGTATTAAAGCAACCACAGAGTTTGGAATGTGAAATGAACCCTCTGGATAAATGATCCTTTCCTCAAGTTGTCCCTGTGAGCAAAATTCTTGACTTTCTGTTGAGAAACAGGTTTATTAACATCACTTGAAAATATTTAAGGCTCTCCAGGACCACTACATTTGAAACAAACTACCAAAGAAACTAAAGATGTGGGAAGGAGCTTTGAACAAGTGATAGGATGAGAAGAAATGGAGTTAAGTTGACCCAGAGGAGGTTTTGATTGGATCTCAGGAAGAATTTCTTTCCTGGCAGAGGGGTGAGACCTTGGCCCAGGCTGCCCAGGGCAGTGGTGGAGTCCCCACCCCTGGAGGGGTTTCCAAGCCCTGGAGATGTGGTGTGAGGGACACGGGGCAGTGGGGACCTGGCAGGGCTGGGGGAAGGGTTGGACTTGATGATCTTAAAAGTCTCCCCCAAACAAAACTTCCCCTGAAGTCTGCAGGCAGGCACTGTGGACAGGGGAGGGATCACAGCAGGCTGGAGGCTAGAATGGAAAGGAAAGTTTCTCCTTCCCATCTGCTCTGCCCTAGGAATAATGGGTCCAGCTCTGGGCTCCCCAGGTCAAGAGAGACAAGGAGCTGCTGGAGAGAGTCCAGTGGAGGCTCCAAAGCTGCTGAGGGGCTGGAGCATCTCTGTGCCAGGACAGGCTGAGAGCCCTGGGGCTGGTCAGCTGGAGAAGACTCAGAGGGGATCTGATCAGTGCTGAGCAAGAGCTAAAGGGCCCCCGGGGGGCAAGAGGCTGGGGCCAGACTCTGGTCAGTGGTGCCCAGGGACAGGACAAGGGGCAACGGGCACCAACTGGAACCCAGGAGGTGCCACCTGAGCAGGAGGAGAAACTTCTTTGGGGTGAGGGTGGCCGAGCCTGGAGCAGCTGCCCAGAGAGGCTGTGGAGTCTCCTGCTCTGGAGAGATCCCAAACCCACCTGGCTGTGACCCTGGGTGACCTGCTGGAGCAGGGGGTTGGAGGAGATGATCTCCAGAGGACAGAAGATTCACTTCACTAAAGGCAAACCCAAGGTCTGGATGCACTGCTGAGAGTGGTACTTCAAAAACCACCTCAACCCCCAACCTCCAACCCCAACAAGCACCTCCTAACACAAGGACTTGGAGGGCAAGATGCAGAATGAGTTGAGCTGAGTCTTGGTTCACTCATTTCAACATCTGGTGGTGCCAAGACACAGATGTTGTGAGAGGGGACCACGAGGACAGGGCCACCACCAGCTGGAAGCACAAATCTTCATGGATCACTGAGAATCCCACAAATCCTGCCCTGAAGACACCACCAGGAGAGGACATTGCAAAGGAGGGTTCCTGGATTGACACTGCTTGGAGGAATTCACTCAACTTAAGGGTTGCACTTTGTCTCTGTCTTAAATGTGTCTCTTCAAAACCACCAAATAATTACAAAGTGTGGTGGGAAGCAGTTAATTGAGCAAAGCTCAGAAATGGCACCTAGGGGTCATTCTTTTAAACAGCACCAACAACATTTAACCTCTTTTCACCTCTGCTAGATGAATTTATTGACAAATCAAGACTTCTTTTGAAGTCACCCCCATTTTCTTTGGCCAGAAGACAAGAAAGATCTTTATGATCCTGGCAGTAAGTCCAATTAATAATAAAATAAGGTGAATTCTTGCCTTCCCCCCCCTCAGTAAACAGTTCCAAGGGCCACAAAATGCCAACATGTCACCATTTCTCACCATTCCATACCTCTGTCAAGGTGTAGGCCTCCTCTGCTGTGCATTCAGCTTTCACTGTGGGGTTGCTGAGGGCAAAGATGATGGGCCTCTCGTTGATAGAGGCCATTGCTTTGATCACATCCTGAGAGAAGAGCCTCCCAGCTCCTGCCACTCCTGAAGGCAAATGGAAACACAGAGAAGCAGGATCAGTGCTTGGGTGCCTTGGAAGTGATAGCAGCCACTGTTGGAGGAGGTTGATGGCACCCCTGATGTCTTCTACTCAAACAAAATACTGGAAAATATGGAAATTGGGCACTGCTCCTTAAATTCTCCTTTCACAAGAACATTTAATGGATGTTTTCCAGAAGACTTTTCCATTAATTTCCATTCTATCATTTTCTGTGGGTTTAGGATTGATCTGTGGGTGCATGGAGTGTGGCCAGCAGGTGCAGGAGGTTCTCCTCCCCTTCTTCTCTGCCCTAGGGGGGCCACCTCTGGAGTATCTGGTCCAGTTCTGGGCTCCCCAGTTCTAGAGAGACAAGGAACTGCTGGAGAGAGTCCAGTGGAAGCTACAAAGATGCTGAGGGGCCTGGGGGACCTCTGTGAAGGATGAAAGGCTGAGAGCCCTGGGGCTGGTCAGCCTCTGAGAGGACTCAGAGGGGATCTGATCAATGCTCATCAAGAGCTAAAGGGTCAAGAGGTTGGGGCCAGACTCTGGTCAGTGGTGCCCAGGGACAGGACAAGGGGCAATGGGCACCAACTGGAACCCAGGAGGTGCCACCTGAGCAGCAGGAGAAACTTCTTTGGGGTGAGGGTGTGTTGGGGTGGGGGGGTGCCGAGCCTGGAGCAGCTGCCCAGAGAGGCTGTGGAGTCTCCTGCTCTGGAGAGATCCCAAACCCACCTGGCTGTGACCCTGGGTGAGCTGCTGGAGCAGGGGGGTTGGAGGAGATGATCTCCAGAGGTCCCTTCCAACCCCACCATGCTGGGACTCCATAAAGAACATTTATTGTTGCCCAAGGGAAGTGGGACCTCAAACTTTTCCAAATAAATCCTGAGTTGTCTCAGGCAATGCCTGTAACCCCATCTGACCTCTGCAGCCAGTCCCAGTTATCAGTCCATCATCTTGCCCCAGGGGAGGTTGAGGTTGGCCCTGAGGAGCAATGTCTCCCTGGCAAGGGCTGTGCAGGGCTGTGCCAGGCTGCCCAGGGCAGTGGTGGAGTCCCCACCCCTGGAGGGGTTTCCAAGCCCTGGAGATGTGGTGCTGAGGGACATGTTTTCCAAGGTCCAACAGCAGCTGGACAAGGACCAGAAGAAGCAGTTAAGAAGGACATGAGATGCAGGAGGAGCAGCACAGCCCCAAGGAAGGATGCACTGAGAGTCCACTTGAAGCTCTTCAAGCAGAATATGGACCTTAATTCCACCAGCAGAAACCCAGATCACTGCCACCAACCTCCTGGGAGCCACATCAGCAAATTCAACCCAGCAACCAACCAACTGTTGGAACCACAGAACCCCAAACAACTTACCAATGATAGCTGAAGGTCGAAGGACACTCACTGCCTCTACAAAGGTCTTGGGTATCTGCTCTGGAGCTGGATGTGTGAAGGGTTCTTGGTTGGAATCTACTTTATGTTCTCGACCCTAGAGAGGACAAAAAGTTGGTTGGTTTGGTGAGCAGGACACAAGGAAGCACTGGTGGTCTCCATGGTGGTGTTTCCAAGGGTGGTGCATCCCTACCTGAACCAGTAAACCATATTTGTCAAACATCCATATTCTCCTGTAGGCTTCCTCAGCAGAAACACCACTTTCCATCATGGCCATCACGATGAGGTTTGCAATTCCCAGGGCAGCCTGGGGGATAAAATGATCAGTCTGTCATCACAGACACCATCCTGCTCAAGATCTCCACAAAAACCATTTAGTTATTCAGCTCTGGAACACAAGCAATGTTTGCCCAGCTGGTGACAAGCTCCTAAGAGTGACATTGTCATGTCTTCATCAAAGTAGATGCTGGAGGTGCTTCCATCCCCATCCATTCTCTTGGCTCACTGCACAGAAACTCACAGGCTGGCTTGGGTTAGAAGAGACCACCAAGATCATCTCCTTCCAACCCCACCACCATGGGCAGGGACACCTCCCACTAGAGCAGGTTGCTCCAAGCCCCATCCAACCTGGTCTGGGACCCCTCCAGGGGTGGAGCATCCACAGCTTCCCTGGGCAACCTGGGCCAGGGTCTCACCACCCTCAAAGGGAAGAACTTCTTCCTCATTTCTAACCTAATTCTCCCCTCTTCCAGTTTGAAGCCATCACCCCTCATCCTGTCACTATAAACCCTTGTACAAAGTCCTTGCCCAGCTTTCTCATAGGCCCCTTCAGATCCTGGAAGGCCACCAGAAGGTCTCCCTGGAGCCTCTTCTTCTCCAGGCTGCACAACCCCAACTCTTCCAGCCTTCCTGCCACATGCTGGAGAAAAGAAAGTAGAGAAACATGGTGCTGGGTCCTGACCCTGCAGCCCCTGCAAGCAGCCACTGATCTGATCTGCTGAGAAAACCTCTGTGAACTTCTCTCCAACACTATGAACATGAAGAAGATGTTCTCACCCTCTTTCTTACTCAATCAGAGTTTTACCATAAATTCCTCTTTGACCACACACAACCCCCCTGATGCTTTTTTTTTCAAGTCCTTGTAAGGAAGTGAAAAAAGTTGAGTCCTTGTGAATGTTGACCACATTTCAAAGAGTCCTTTTTAAGCTTGTTTCAGCTGGCCTTAGAGAAGCTCTGCCACAAAATTCAGAGACTGTGGATCTCCACAAGTCCTGCAGAACCAGAAAATAGCCAATTAAATCTAGTTGCTCTACAGCTCTTCAAAAAAAACTCACCTCTCCTGCTCCAAGGAACAGCACTTTCTGCTCTGCAAGTGGTTTACCAGTGGCCTTCTGTGCTGCCAGCAGTCCTGCCAAGGCCACTGAAGCTGTCCCTGGAAAACCAGCACAAATTTAAGGTGAGCTGAAGAGAGCCACATAGAATCAGAGAATGCTTTGGCTTGGAATGGACCTCTAAAGGTCATCTAGTTCAACACCTCTCCAGTAAGCAGAGACATCCCCAACTAGAGCAGGTTGCTCAGAGCCCCATCAAGCCTGATGGTGTCTCCAAGGATGGGGTCTCCACCACCTTTCTGGGCAGCCTGTTCCACCCTTCTAGTAAAAAACTTCCTCCTGATGTCTGATCTAAACCTCCCTTGCTCTAGTTTCAAACCACTGCCCCTCATCCTATTGCTACACACCCTTGCAACCACTTCTTCCCCAACCTTCTTGTAGGCCCTTCAGGTTCTGGAAGGCCACCAGGAGCCTTCTCTTCTCCAGGTTCACACGTGCCCACTCCTCCAGCTCGTGGCACAGGGCAGATGATGGGTTTAGGCAAAGTTTTTGCATATGCATGAAGGAATGTAGAGGCTATACCTTGAATATCATCATTGAAGGTACAATATTTCTCTCTGTATTTTCTTAAAAACCGAAAAGCGTTGTGGTTTCCAAAGTCTTCAAACTGGATCAGGGTGTTCTGGCCATACCTAGAGAACATGGCAAAGATTCCTATCACCAGGCACACCAACACAATCCTTTGAAACCAAAGCCTGCAGGGAATCCATTAGCTTGGGGAAGGCAGATGGCCTCAGGCTTTTTCACTGCTTAAAAAACTTCCACCTCTCTGTGTCTGCCAGGAAACTACAAGCAGCGTGTTGAAGGTCACAGAGAAAATCACTTCAGGGTTGTGTCTCTTGATTTCTAGCCTTAGTCCTTCAATGACCATTTTAAGGGGCTTTTTTGGCCAGCAGTTTTGGCCGTGTAGACTGTTCCATGTCATACCTGTCTGTGATGGCTTCCATAAATTCATCAATGAGGTCATCGTAGACCTGGGAGCGATCCCTTTTTTGGTAGAGGCCCATGTAAAATGGATCTTTTAAGAGGGTCTGGAAAAGAATAAATCAAAAGACAGCAGCAGGCTGAATCACTTCCTCAAGAGGCACTTTGCAGAGTTCACAGTGAGCCCCTTTCACACCCAAGGAACTGAATTTCTACAGCCACTTCAACTGCCTCCAGTCTACCCCCGTGCTCAGCTGGCACTTGGGGTGGCCCACGGCTGCTTTTCAACTGGAACAGATCAATCCTCTGAGCAATCAACTGCTTTGATCAATCTGATTCACATTTCCAGCTTCTTCCAAGTCAGGTCAAGCTGACTGGTTGTTTGACAGCATTCAAATGGCTTCTAAATGCCTCGTTTCACTGACAAATTGGCTTCTTTCCATCACCGACTGGAGAGGGAATTCCAAGTCATTTACCCTTCTCTAGAATACTTGGTGTTAGCTCAATGTCCTGGTTCTGTGTAAAAAGGGGTTCAGGGCAGGACCCACAAGGAACAGAACTATGTACTCACCTCTCCCCCCCCTGAGAGAGAGAGACTTTGGAAAAAAAAATGAAGTATATTGTTCAACAAGGAACAGAAAACGAAAAAAGGAGGTAAGGAAAATAATATATACAAAGATTAGGGGAAAATACCAAAAATAAAGTACACAAAACCCTCAGAAATGGTTCCAGGGTCCCACGGAGTGAAAGGACAACTTCCCTCTCCGAGCTCCAAGGCAGGAGTGAAATTAGAACCCACTCCCTGCCTCTTATCAGAGTGTGTGTGTGGGAAGGGGGAGGGAATAAAATAGTTTCACCCCCACCCGGGGTCCTCCCAGTTGCTGGAAGGTCACGCCCCCATTCCAAGCCTCAAAGCACAACACTCAAATGAAAGTGCTCCAACAAAAATCTCCTTTTATAGTACTCAAGCCTCTTAAATCATTCCTCTTAAATCATTCCTCTTAAATCATTCCTCTTAAGTTATTTTCACAGGGATGGTTTAAGGCAGGGGAAGTTCAGTCAAACTCACGGTGTTGTCGGTCCCGACGTCGATGCAGACAGGCAAACACTTATCTGGGTGTATTCCTGCACAGGCTGTGTACAGGCAGAGTTTTCCAACTGGAATTCCCATCCCATACACACCAAGGTCTCCAAGCCCCAAAATTCTTTCTCCATCCGTGACGACAACGGCCTGAAGACAAAAAAGAGGTGAAATTTTCTAGCAACGCTGAAATTCGTCAAGTTTAGGAGCTGTGGGGGTCAAAATTCAGGTTATTTTTGCACAGCAAAGGACAGATTACAAGGCATATTTTATTTGAAATAATAATTCTTCATTTTACAGCCTCCTGGGCTGGTTTTTCTCTGCTGAAATCCACTGCCCCAATCTTTGAGAGCTCCTATGTGGAACTGTGGCTTAGAAATCCAGGTGGCCAAAAGTTTCTGGACCATTCACCTCATGTCTCCTTGTGGTTCTCCAGCCAACTGGGTCACAGAGGAGTTGATGGTAAAATCTGGGCCTCCCAACCATCACTTATGGGTCTTAACCTGAGGGCAAGGTCCTCACCTGGTTCCAGGCAACCCCAAGGACAGGGTGGGCAGAGAATGGACTGAGAGCAGCCTTGAGGAGAAGGATTTGGGGTGCTGGTTGATGGAAAGCTCAACATAGAGCCAACAAGGTGTGAATGCAGCCCAGAAAGCCCCAACCATACCCTGGGCTGCACTGTCTCTCTCCAGGGAGACCTTCTGGTGGCCTTTCAGAACAAAGGGGATTAGAAGAAAGCTGGGGAAGAACTTTATACAAAGGCTTGTAGTGACAGGACAAGGGGTGGTGGCTTCAGAGTGGAAGAGGGGAGATTTAGATGAGAAATGAGGAAGAAGTTCTTCCCTCTGAGGGTGGTGAGACCCTGGCCCAGGGAAGCTGTGGATGCTCCATCTCTGGAGGTGTTCAAGACCAAGTTGGATGGGGCTTGGAGCAACCTGCTCTAGTGGGAGGTGTCCCTGCCCATGGTGGTGGGGTTGGAACTAAATGATCTTTAAGGTCCCTTCCAACCCAACCCAGTCCATGACTATGATGACATGAGGTACATCCTCCAACATCTCCCCAAAAGGCAAAATGATGGAAGTACAATAACAAGGTCTCATTTTGACCAGTCTCATTCTCAGCACCACTTTTTACTCAAACCAGAAACTTCATCTTGAGGCTAAAAAAACCCTTCTTCAAGAGTGACATCATCTTCCTGAGCTGTATTTTACCATCATCCTCAGGCAGCCAAGGAGCCATTATTTAATATTTCCATTTCTCTCAACTAGTAATGAACTTTAAGCACCTCCACTGAGATTAAATACCAACTAGGAAGAAAAATTCTCCAGTGGTAGTACCTTAACATCATTCTCTGGCCAGTTGTTGACGATGGACCTGATGTGGCCTCTGTCTGAGATAGAAATAAACAGTCCTCTGAAAGAAAAAAAGAAAGGAGAAAGGGTTGAGAGGTGGCAATTTTCACCTTTCTTTGTAAGAATTTCAC